GTTTATTTTCTCGTTCTTCTTGTTTCTTTTGCTGTTCTTGTATTGCTGCCATCAAGTCTGCTATGCTGTAGTTTGATTTGCCACTTCTCGTTTCCATTTTTTTTATCCCACTCCTGACACCAATTTGTTACTTCTCCGTTTGTTAATTAACTTTCCTTAACTTCGTTTCCGACGAAACTTTAGCGACACAAATCCTTACTTAATAAAACTGGTTTATTCTTTCCGAATACAACTTTACGATACACTTAATTTCAATATTCGCGCTAAAACAAACACTATAACGAACGTACGTTAACTTCAACAATACCCTGTGACTGCAGTTCAATTACTCACTATCTACACACACATTATTATTCTCCCGTCACGTTGTCACCCTCTTTTATATACCAGACTACTCTATATCTAGTAAATACTAGAGCATTCGCCAAGGTACAGGATAGTTCTAGAAAATAGGTGACGCCACACCAGTCACGTGACCTCGATGACGCAACAACTGCATGTCTCAGTGAATGAATTACACGTAACTTGAAAGTTAAATATGAAAAACTGCTGAAGGGATTAAGTCACTGAATGCAAAAACTATACAAATACAAAAGTATTTGAATAACTTTAAATACTAACAACTAAAGGATTTGAACTGTAGTGCAAGAAAAAAAAATATCTTCTTTTATATCCACACATGCCAACGTAAACTAACTTACCCCGCTGCACGTCATGTTTGGCACAAGCTTCTACTAATAATGTTCTGTTGTCGCTTTCTTTGAGCAAGCTCTTCGTGAAAATCTTTACAATTTAGTTATGGTAGAATTTGTTTTTGTTGTTAAGCGCAAAGCTACACAGTGGGCTATCTGTTCTATGGCAACCACGGGTATCGAAACCCGGTTTTTAGCCTACATACAGACTTATCGCTTTACCACTGGGGAGCTGTGGTAGAGTTACTAAATTATTAGCGTATTTTCAAAATAATATGTATTTATTATACAGAAAAACGCCAATGTCCATCGCAAAAATATTTTCATTTTAACTGAAAATGGTGTATTTTTAATGGTATCTGAAGCTGTTTGTACACCTTTTAAAAATTATGAGGTGCCATCACATCCATCGCGCAGTATCTACTCACAATGATATTGTCACGTCTCCGTTTGTTAATTAATTTTCCGTAAATTCGTTCCAACGAAACATTAGCGACACAAGTCCTTTCTTAAAAACTGGTTTATTCTTTTCGAATAAAACTTTACGATACACTTAATTTCAACAGTCGCTCTATAACAACGCT